CTCGCCCTCGCTCGGAGGGGCTTGCTGCAGAGCCCTCAGCCCCGGGAGACGCAAATTCCTGCTAGTCCCGCGCTTAGGACTGACGCTAACGCTTTGCCAGCCGTGCCGAGGCACGCCTTTGTACGCCTGACGAAGTCAGGAAGTCTCCTGAGCCTTCCCGCTCCGTGGTCTTCTTAACACTTCTGCTTCTCAGGTGGCTTCATCATGGATGAGATTGTTGCTGAGTACATCAGAAGGACTGTGCTAAAAATCCCGCGCGATGAGATCAAGACAATGCTACAGACATGGGGCTTTCTCTCTGAGAGACAGCTGCAAACCCTGAACTTCCATCAGACAAAGGACAACGTTTCTCAAGATGTTGCTCAGCTCTGCGAGGTAACCCAGTTCTTTGGCAATTGCCGGCCAGGGACGTACGGGGCACGGATTTTGATACACTGTCAAAAACATTCTCGTTCTGAAGTGAGCTTTATTTGGCCATAATCCAACATAAAAGGGCAGTTTGTAGACTGGCAGATGTAAGGCCAAGCTAACAATAATAGTCACTCTGTTGATATGAGTGCAGGTTTGGCTATTGCGTGGTATAGAAGTGCATGTTTTGAGCTCTAAGTGGTACAGGAATGATTAAGGCTCAGGGTATTAAACTTTTAAGAAATAAGGGTATTTCTAAAGTGTAAAAAGGCACTGATTAAAATGTCTACTCATTGTCTAGTGCTGATTTAAACCTATTTAGTATGAGTAATGATAGCACTGGTTTCTAGCTTTTCTTCAGTAGTGTAAGAATGATCACCCGTGCCGCTAGCACCTCCTTTTTTTTCTGTGTAAGCATATTCTCATTGTTGGCCTTTACAAAATGCAGTGTTCTGAGGATTTCTGTAGTTTTGCATAGTAAGTGATTCTGTCTAGAGATCTTGGCGATTATGGTGTATACTTACGCTAATGGATACCTGCATTTGCTAGAATTCTGTGCTATCCCATGTGAACTGAAGAATGACTCTTTTCTTCATTTTACTGTCATTTGCTTGTTTGTTTTGGGAGGATTTTGACAAGCAAGTCAGTGTTTGGGAAAATTTTCTTGGCCAGAACTGCTTTGATTCTGCACACTGTAAACAAACTACCTTTCTGATCGTGTATTTACTGGTGTACTAGAAGTCTTATTAGTGTCGTAGCCCAGATACGATAGATTAGTGTCTTTGAGGAAAGCATGCCTGCTGTGAACTTCAGTGGAATCTAAATAATTTGAAGTACCTAGATTGAGATTTTCACTCACTAACAGTGTAATAGAGTGTTCTGGCTCTGCAGTTCACCATGTATTGTCATTTTCCCTTTCAGGATAATTCTGTGGATATAAAGCAAGCAGCAGTCCTAGACATAATTTGTAAGTAAAAATTCACACCTTTACCTCTTTTTCTGAGTAACTTGGTAACTCCTTTAATTACATAGCAGTTGCCCTGGTGAGTCTACAGACGCTTTTGGTGTAAACGGATTACATTTTAGATGCTGACTCTGATTGGATCTGACTCTTTTTTTTTTTTTTAATGTAATAAGCTACAAAATCAACAAAAGCATATATTTGGTTCTTCTGACTTCTAAATAAATGGTAAGTTGTATCCAGCACTTATGTGTGGAGAGAGAAGTTCGTCTCTAGTATGCACATAACCCTAACTAAAATCAATGGTATCTTGCTCCAGCTAGGGAGTGACATATGGCAAAACCATCAGCAAATACTCTAGATGGAACTCTAACTCCAATATGGTTTCATAATTTTATTTTGTAATATTTTGAACTGCAATTTTAACAGTCTGCGTTTTTCAATTTGAGTTGAGACTGAATTTCAATAGTTCTAGGAGAAATCCCTTAAACATTGGACCTCAGAGATATACCCTTTATGAGCTGCTTAATCAAATTACAAAAGATTTTCCTGTCTTTCTTAATTAAAAAAAATACTTTCAGGCTTAACATTAATGGTAGCTTAAGAGTGTTGAATCAGTTATATTGCATTATTACAAGTTGTCTTTTTGAAATAAACTGGTCATAAAAGTACTGTAAAATAATTTGTTTCTTTAATTACCTTTTTAATATATATACTGTGTTATTGGACAATTCTTATTTTCCCTAGACAACCACATCTATCCAAACAAAAGAATATGGAGTGTTTACCAGATGAACAAAACAGGTAGGTAAATATCTTTCCCTGCTATACTATAATCTCACTATTATAGTCCTTACCAACTTAATGCAGTATTGCTTCATATAATGTGCTTTAAATAAAAACATAGTCTAGTATGGATTTTTCATTAGAGATGTATTTAATGTTTTCAGACTACTCTTGCTCAACCTTTTAAGCAATTATTAGAAATGAATAGCAACTAATTAAATATTAACTTTTTCATTCTTTATGTATCAATAACAAGGCTCAAATTTAATACAGGGCCTGTCTTATACAGTTATGCAACTTTAGCTTTTTCTACATTGTTTTGTTTCAGCCGAAACTGTAAAAACATCTCTGAAGTAGTTTTTGTAAACAGAATTCTCATCTCTCTTTCTTGTGGAACAGGGGAAGAAATGGACTTTTTTGACTTAACAGATTTCAAAAAAAAATTTAAAAGACGACTTCAGTCAGCTCTGAAAAACGTAAGAATAAATCCCTCCTAAAAGTGTTGCACAGCTCGCTGGTGTCAATATATTTTTTTAAATGTATATATCTTTTTGTAAGGTATCGTTTTCTTGCCATCTGCTTCAAAATTGGAATAAAACTATTAACTTTGGGAATGGTAGGGACTGCACGTGAAATAGGTTAAAAGCATTCTGTATCTCTGTTCTAGCAGTTTTTCAAGTTTGCTGAACTGGAGTGAAATAAAATACGGGTGGTTTGCCTTAAAATATGACAGTACCTATTTCATACTTCAAAAAATACTGTATTCTCTCTATATTTTGATGGGTTTTTTTCCGAATGTACATGTTGCCTGGGTGAGTTGGTATTGTTCTGCCCTGATGCCCAATAACAATACATGAAAAAATGTATCTGATGAAGCAGAATCTAGATACAATTTGAAGTAGGAATAATTTGCATCAGTAAGCAAGACAAGGAAGTTCTGTGGGGTGGTTGCTGTTGTTGTTGGGGTTTTTGTTTGTTTGTTTTTACTACTTAGATTAGTAGCAAAATTGTATCCATTTCGTTTTAGTTCTGGTTTAAATATGATGTTTTGTGATGACTGTGAAAACTTGGTCCTGATATTTTTGTTACATTATAATGACTGACAGACCACTGTCAAGAAGTGGTTTCTAGACTACAAAGAAATAGTAAGAAATGCCAGGGAGGGAAATTTTATCTCACTTTTTTAGTGAGCAAGTTGCAGTGGCCTTTTCTCGCTGCAACTACTCTTTAGTTCACATGCTTAATTTAAGCAAAGGAATAGAAAGTGCCTGTGGGTAATTAGCTGCGTCACTTCTTTACACACAAGGGATTTCCACTGACAACAGTAGAGGGCAAAGAATACAAATTGGCCCAAAAGATAATCATATCTGGTTCATAGAACCGTACTACAGCATTAGATTCACCTTCTTTTTTTTTAGTTAGGATATTCCACAAAAACGTTAAGAGGTGATCTTGGTCAACCAGTTCAAGCAGTTTGGGACCTAGTCAACTGAGAACTTGCCTGGCTGTACCTGAAGCCAAGGGAGTTTTTGTCAAGGTAGAAAGAAGCTGAAAATCAACAGCAACTGAGTAGCAAATGTGCAAGAACAGGGAAGGAAATCTTCAAAATATTGATTACGAATTCTTGACCTGTGATAGATATTTATACTCGGGTCTAAAATCAGCAAATGTATCAAAAGTTTAGTTTCTTAAAAATAAGACATTTGAAATACTCTTAGTAGCCCTCCCTCTAAATGCAAAGACTTTTTCTATTGCGTTGCTACTCTCCCAAAACAGAAAATGAAGGCTTTGTAATGAGCCATTTCTATTCTCATTGATACGCATCTTCTGAAGGGGCAAAACAAAGTCATATTGGAGTTTGAAAGATGATTTTTTTTTTCTCTTCAACAAAGAAATGATAATTTTACCAACCGATACTTGATTTAAATACAATCCCGACCAAGCTAGAAGGATTTGGTTTTTATTCAGGCAGTGGTATACCATCTGCCTTATGTTTGGGTCATGTGAACACAGACTTAAGAAGTAACAAAATGTTTCTAGACGTCTGAATGTGCAAGTAATTGAAGTTTTTCTGCTCAGGTTACCATCAACTTTAGAGAATATGAGGATAATGCAATCTGGATTAGAATTGCTTGGGGAACACCATATAAAAAACCAAACCAATACAAAACCAGCTATGTTGTATACCATTCGCAGACACCCTACGTCTTCATTTCTGCCTCAGTGCTTAGGAGCACCTTGCCTCTGCTATGTCAGGTAGAAAATAAAACTGTGTAGACCCTAACTCTACCACAGTCTTGTAGATCTATAATTCTGCTTGCTACCTTTTAAGAGGATGGGTAAAGTTTCGTTGTTTCTCCAGAACCCCATATCGTAATGTAATTTTCTAATTCAAATAGTCATGTTTCCCCCCAGCTCTTAATAAAAATGGGGCCAATACCAATCTTTGTGACCCTTAGAATGGCACATAGTTAATGTATTCAGTTATTGGGATCTTTGCTGATCTTGACTCTTCCAAATTTCTTTACCAAATATTGCCTAACATTTTGATGAAATTGTTGATGTAGTATTCTTGGACTTTTGTGAGACACAGTTAAGCTTATGAACTGAGCGTATGAGCTCATCGGGGGAAGCTATTAATTAGGTTAAAAAACTAGTTTTTCTGTAAACCCATGGCGGTCAGTGTTTGTGATTTTTCTTATTTTTATTTATCTAGCATGCCTCCATATGAGTCATTTCATTGTTTTTATCAGGCTGATAATGCTATATAATTCTCTGGTTAATCCCATGAATGCTTTTAAGTATTAATCTAACCTTAATAGCAGTCTATTGAACATTCTCCGGACATGATAATCCTGCTCGTTAAAGGGCAGCTGCTTACCCTAAAATAAAAACATTGCAATGTCTAGAAATACTAATATTGTTCCATATTATAAACACAGTGATGATTAATACTGATGTTAAAACAATCTCAATTTTTATTTGAAGGCACTGGTTGTTGCTTCCAATTACCATGACATCCGTGAAATGGAGCTTCGAAGTCATTGCTTAAACTCCCTTAAAGATATTGTGTTTAAGAGATATAGCCAGGTGAGCCACTCCACAAGTTCAGCCTAAGATGAGTCTTGCTTTTTGTTTCAGGCCTAGTTCTTCCCCCCTAGCAGGGGGGAATATTCACCTCTTCCAAGAGATCATCATGTTACAGTAATATTGAACTACTGAGCTGGACAGCTTTTCATTAAGGTAACAGTAAAATGGTGATCTAATACTTTAGTATCCTGAAGGTTGAACTTAGTCTAAAAATTGTATGACCGAGTCAGTCTTGGGACTTTTAGCATAATTTCACTGGGCTTCCTACAGTAATGATTTGGAAGATATTAGAATGGGCATTTACTCTGCTCTTCCCAGTGACACTTTTAAAGGAATAATGCTCACGACTATCATAGAAAGATGGGGATAGTCCTCTTAAAGCTGGGCTTCCTGGCCTACAGTAACTGTCAAAAAGTAGGAAGAATGCTTATTTTCAGAAAGAGAAGTAAAAGGAAAACTGGAAAGTTCTTTTCTGCTGTAGCCTCTAAAAGTGGAAGTGAACTAAAACTAAAGAATTCATCTTATCTTCCCTCATTCAGACCTTCCAAACTTATTGTCCAAGACCTCTACAAGAACGGAATGTAGCCCCGGAGAGCGGTATGTACGTTTTAAACTAAACTGCAGTCATCACTTTTTAGATGTGCACTCAAAAATATTCCTGGCTTATGGAGTGAGATTCAATAGGAAATGTACATATATTATATTCCCATTATATTGTCCATACCTGGAGGGGTGCCATAATATTGGCTATCCCTAGGAGAGGTAAATATTTGCCACTGGCAGTCACTGCACACATACTTATGAAAAAAAATTCACAGTGCCCAGTATTTCCTTCCATATTGGCTTGTTTAGTTTTCTTAACAGGTAAGAACTGAAAATATCAAGTGGACAATTAGCTTATGAAGAAAGATTGTGATGAATTTTTTCAAATTTATTTCTTTTTTTTCTCTTATATGCTCACTGGAGCATTCATCTGACCAAAAAACCTGTACTGTATCACCTGATGGATTTGTCTTTCTGGTTTTTCTCTCTTCCTTCCTACCCTTTCACTTGCAGTGGATTTAAGGATAATTCAAGAAAACAGAAATGAAAAAGAAAGAATACAGAGAGTGAATCGGGAAGTTTTTGGTGATGGTCCCCAACCAAAACTTGAATTTGCACAATATAAGGTAGTAAAAGCAATCAATTTTTTTTTTTGTAGTTTCAGTAGAATTAGCTACATGAAGTTGCAAATAAAGAACTTTCTAGTACTGCTGCAAGCTTTAGGGAGGACACTATTTTAAAATAAACTAGTTAAAACTGGCTTTATAAAACAGATTTGCACTAGGATTTGATCAGACCACTGGATTGTGTTTTTTCAAATCTTTCAGCCTTGTGAACTAAGTATTTTGACTTGTTTTTGTAATAAAGCTTAAAAGAGTTAAAACAGCAATGTTTTCAAGCATGTGAAATTAGGGCTACTCAAAGTACATATAAAGTTTATAATACATGTAACAGTCATAATTTAACTTCTCAGGTGATGCACTGACATTTTGGTGATGACTCTTTTTGTGATAGTGGAAGTTCCAAGAGATCATTCTTAATGTTTTACTATATAATTGAACAGGCTGCCTCTTTCAGCAGAGAATTGGTTGCCACGTGGTGGCACTCTCTGATCTTATTAATAAAATATTCTTCAAACCAGAATCATGTTAACGCTAACAAATAATAGCAAACTGATTCTTCTGCTACCTCCTGGTTAACTTACTCAGTTACCTGATAATTTCAGAGATAACAGGAGATTCATAAACTTTTTTATGCTGAAACTTACGGAACATATTTTCATTACCTAGTTATTTGCTAATTATTTTTTTCCTTAACTCAAAAAGCAGTTTGAAGAAGCAATCCAAATTAAATCATGCATGTTTGAAAATATGCTAATGTTCAAAGTAATACTTGGTTCCGTTTTCAACTTTTTTCAGTTTGACATCAGTTAGAACTTTTTTTGGTCCAACTAACTTATGTCAGTCATTTAGAGATTATTTTTGTGTGTTTATGTGTGGCTTTCGGTATAGGAGGAGAAGCTTTTTGTCTGTGTTATAATTCTGAAGCCAAAAAAGTACCTAAGTTCAAGGAAAGATGTGCTGTAGTATCCGGAATTGCTTCCGTTCATTTCTGATGCTAGGAAATGCATGTTTTGTTCTTAATTTTCTGTATACCCACAAGTTATGTTTTCCAGAATGATTTTGAACTAGTGTCTGTTTAGAGAGAAAGTAAACCTGAGGACAGCAACTCGCTAAGAAAATAACACATCTGTCATAACTGAATTAAAACATAACTTACGGCTGTACATCCCACACTGCTCTGCAAACTACTAGGCATATAGCTCTACAGTGTTTGGCTCTGTCGGGTGTATTGTGCCCTACAAGAAACGCTCAGGGTTGATAGTGATCTGGTTACTCCACAAGTTTGAGAACTATAATAATATAGAACAGTCAGTTTTTAAAATATGGGTATAAGATGCTCTATTTAATACCACATGCAGTTTGCAAACAGTTTTCAAAGATAAATGGGTCACAGTCTAAGTATTTTATTGTTTTAATAATAGCATATGCATAAAATATGTTTCTTGCTCATATGCCCTGGAAATTTTGTGTTAACAGCTTGAGACAATGTTTAAAAGTAATCCTAAAATGGATGTCTTGGATATAAAAGAGCCATTCAGATGTCTGGTCAAGTTTTCTAGTCCGCATCTTTTAGAGTCACTGAAATCCTTGGCACCAGCAGGTAAGTGTTTCAGCTCTGTAACATGGAGGAAAAATGGATAGTTGAATATTTTTATCATCTTACATTCTGCTTGCATCTTGCATAAGAGAGAGCCTGCATAGTTTGTTTAGAAATGTATAGAAATTTAGAATAAAAATGTCACCATCATGAAAACTTTTGTCTAGATATATACCAGCTTGTCCTTAGAATTTATGATTTGTACATATATACTCAAGCTGTATTTTTAATTCTATACCGTTTATGAAATGTAAATATTGGCCGAATTAAGCTATACTTATCTGTTTCTCTTGCTCTCCCCAGGTCTGGCTGATGCACCACTTTCACCACTACTTACATGTATACCACAAAAAGCGAGGAATTATTTTAAAATTAGAGAGAGGAAAGGTATCTTTCCAGGAAGCTTTGTAAGCCCTTAATTTAAGACTGACTTACAGAAAAATATAGAAGTCATTTTTTACTGGTATTAATCTAAATCATAATAAAGGTTAAAGCAGACTTTTAAATTAACTTATTCTCTGATAATCCCTCAAACTTCTTCAATTTACAGCTTTTTGAATTGTTTTTCCCCATTGGTCTTTAACAGAAAAGTTAATCCTTAGATAATTTAAATAAAAAGCTATTAGGAAGTTTAAACAAGGTCCAGCAGTGATTGTGATTATTTAAATGTGATGATTGCTCTTAATTGTATTTTTAGAAGTGTATGTGAAATTAAAAGCTAGCTAAGCGTAACCTAGTTACAACAGGACATCTCTAGATATTCGGTTTACTGCCGTGACTAAGATCTTCTAGGTAGTCGTCTTACTTAGGCTCCAGTTCAGCGGTGTAACAGAGCAAATGCCCCATTTTGACTGTGTGAATAGTCAGTCCCATTCAAACAAGGGGATCGACCCATCTGCCTTAGGTCAGGCACGTTGGAAGAAGATTCCACTCCAAGGCCATTGCGGGCAACTGGGGGAAGGAGACAGGACTCCTGAAATGCAGAAGTCAGTAAGACAGTTCTCTCCATCTATACCGGACATTGATTCAGATCCAGAGTTTTTACTGGCCAAGTGCAATATTCGAGAATGGATACTTATATAAAAAGCCAAATCCTATCTTTTCTGTCTGTTTGTATTAATATCTTATGAAATTTTACCCTAGAGGAATGCAATGAAATTGGCAATAACTTTTTGTTTTGAGGAAGCTATGTTTTAGAATGTGTACTTCATTAAAGAGTTCATCCTTCTGCAATCCGTGCTCATTACTACTTCATTGAACTTGTGGGCATAAAGACTGCAGAATCGAGATGGCAATGTTCGCTAATGCCAACATTAGCTCTGCAGTGGAGTTCCTTAGAGGTAATAATTAAATAGACATTTTATGTAACTTTCTACATTTTTAATTTAAGAGATGGATTTGGTTGGAAGATTCAGTTATACTGTACGATTTTTTAAAAAAAATTATTTTACCTAGAAATTTATTATAGGTGTACTTTGTGTATATGAGACTTCTTTAGATATGTCAATAAGCAAAGACAGTGTTTGGAAAATCTGTTACACAGTGTATCTATTTGGACAGGTTGTATGGGACTGTTTTTATGTTTTCAAACGATAAATAAATGTGTAAATTAAGTCCTCACAGAAGTTTGTTTGGCTTGACTAACTGAAACATGATTTAACATATACTTATTTTATTGGTGGTGGTTGTTTTTCAGCAACTCTGTGTAACTAATATATAAAAAAGAAGTTAGTTTAGGACTATCTGCTAGTGGTATGTTTTTAACACTTCTGCCGGTGCAATTTAAATGCTAATGTTTGATAAGTTTACTTACTGTTAGGATTTTGAAATGATTTCAGGTTTTGTGTGATACCAAGTCTATATGCAATTCAGAGTTGCCTCTTAATGTCTCCTACTCACTCATATGCTCATATCCCATTCTAAGAGTTAGACCTATTAAGATAATTGGCTATTACATAAACTTTACACAGAACTTCCAGGCGGACAGACACGTATTTATGAATAACAAGCAGAATCCTTGCAGACAAGATACATGAGGGAGAAGTAGAGGCTCTAGAGTGAACACAAGGACGTGCAGGGCCCTAACACGGTAGATACTTGTCAAAAGACAAAACGCATAACATTTGAACACTGAGAGTGGATTCTGTATACGTAACACCTTGGTCTGATTTTCCTTAATTGGCAAAGGTAGAGGGGAGGAAATATACTTGCTTACTATGTTCCTCAAAAATGCAAATTCATACAAACGAACAACTCCCTGGAAAGCTGCTTAGAGAGAGTCCATGATTACCCAAAAGGGGCATTGAGGACCACTGGCAAAAGCAGCTCTTTCACATGCTGGACAAGCTCCCTTTACTCTGCAGTTTGATCTCTAGATGTGTTATCATAGAATTCTCTTTCTCGGCAAGAAAATGTTCATAGTTTAGTTTTTGTCCCGTCCCCCCCCCCGTGCCCAGGATGGCATTTCAGCATGTAAGTTAAAGAAGCGCAGGATGTAAGTTAAAGAAGCGCTGCTTTCGCTGAGTCTTCCACAGACGCTGGCCGGCGTGCCGAGAGGGGAGGGGG